TTTGATGAGGACTTGCGTTAAACAGAATTTAAAACGAGACTTTGATAAGGGGGCATTCTTGGAGATGAGAAAAAGAGGAGAGGAAGCGTTGGTTTTAGGTCTAAGTTTTAGGTACTTTAACATGGATGAAAAAGGGCAGAAAGGGGAATCAATGTGGGCAACTAATATGGAACAGGCGCCTCCGCATTTAGAATGTGATGTAGAATGTAATGGCCAGGATGAAAGTTTAGATCAGCTAAAGAGACATCTTTGTTGGGGTCAAATGAGAGAGAGGGTGTAGTGAATTCGCTGGCTCTAAGGAAGGCATAGAAGGCTAGCAGGAACACTGAGTCAAGAAGGGCATCAATAAAAGGAGAAAATATACAGTTTCTGAGAACTGACAGCATCTTATGCAAAATAGCGAGCGTGATGGGACGTCTATTATCAGGGATAGGAGGAGAAGCTTTAGCGATGCCCTTTAAAATTAGCTTTACAGCTTAGTTTGCAAATAAGCTAGGGAAAGAAGGGTTGAAGCATCTTATGTTAAATTGGACAATTGGACAGCAATCAACCCGCGGATGTACTGAGGTTTAAAATGCCTGACATCCATACAGTAACAAATGAAAGCACAGACAGTATTTATCTTGACAGGTTTAAGAGGGATGCATATGGACATACAGAAAATAGCAAATGTGCGCCAAGCAAAATCCTAAGTTTTTAGAGTGGAGGTGGCTAAACCTTGTCTCATGTAGAATTTGGCTGATTCTAAATAACTGGACATGAGGCCTTGGTTCAATGCAGAGCTATGACTTTGAGAGGGGGAATCTGAACTGGCACTGAGCTGGCTTCTGGGCAGATGCTCCGGAAAGTCTGAAATTTGAAGCGGGAAAGAGAATCAGCTGAAGTGTTGAGGTGGCCTGGCACATGATGGGCTGTAATGATGAAATTGTGACTGATGGAGGACCATGTAATGCTTCTCATGAACGGCATGATATCTTTTGACGAAGAGCGCCCTCTGTTGATGATATCGACCACTGCTTGGTTGTCGCACAGAACTGAGATGCGCTTGTGTTTCCAGTTATGACCCCACACGTGACATGCTACAGTGATGGGGTAAATTTCGAACAGCGCTGAAGATGCCTCGAGACTGTAAAAGGAGGGCGGCCATTGGCTGGCGAACCACTGGCCTTGGAAGAACCCCCCGAAACCCACGGATGGCGCAGCATCTGTGAAAAACTTGAGAGCGTCTGAGGAATGCACCAGCTCATCATAGAAAAAAGAAATGCCGTTCCAGTGATTGAGCAGGTGAGACCAGAAACACAGGTCTGAACGGCAACCTTCGTCTAGAGATATGACGTCATGCAGATTTGGCACGGAGGACGCAATGTCCAGTAACCGAGAAATAAAGGATCGCCCCTGAGGGATGACGCGCATGGCAAAGTTCAGGTGACCGAGGAGGGAGAGCAGCTGTCGTTTTGTGATGTTATCGGTATCACAAAAGGACTTTGATATGTTGCGGATGCGCTGCAGTTTCTCAGCTGGGAGGGATGCTTTCATTTCAATAGAATCGAGGGTGATGCAGAGGAATTCTAAGCGAGTATCTGGACCTAACGTTTTTTCTTCTGACAGGGGGACGCCAAGAGCCTGGAAACACAGTTTCAGTTTGGACAGAGAGGAGCCGGAGCTGTCATGAGGGGGATCTATGAGGAGGAAATCATCAGACAGGTGGAGGACAGAGGGGATTCTGACTCTGTTTAACAGTATCCAGCAGAGGGCCTCCGAGACTAAGTTAAAAATGAATGGGCTGCTTCTGCACACAAAAGTCAGGCAGGTGGCAAAATAGTATTTTGAGTCCCACCTGATGCCAAAAAGATTCCACTGAGATGGGTGAATGGGAACTATTTTAAAAGCGTCGGTAATATCAGCTTTTGACAGCCAGGCACCATGGCCTGAGAGCTTGATCAGTTTAATGCCGTTATCTACGGAGGCATAATCGAGGGAGAAAGGCTCTAATGGGATGAGGCTGTTAACGCTTGCAAACGGGCCGGAGCGAGGTGCGGAGAGATCAAAAATTAACCTTTTCTTCCCCGAGTACTTCCTGGTGGCTAGGCCAATTGGACTTGAACGGAACACTGGAAGGGGAGGACCTAAAAGGGCCAATGACGTAACCTTTGTTTACCTCTCTCTCTAGCAGCTGGGAGATGATATCTGGCTCATTAAGAGCGGACTGGAGATTTTTTGCGACATATGTGACTGAGGGGGAAGAGAGAACCCCTACTCTGAAACCCTGAGAAAGGCCTGTGAGGAGATGATCTACGAACACTGAATCAGGATGAGAAGACAGTTTTGCTGCTACAGACTGTACATTTATTGGAGTGGAGGGATGGGAGTTCAGAATGTTTTTGAACCATGTTGAGGTGCTCACTGGGGAGGATTCCGGGATGGTCTGGGGCGTCTGGGGCAGACTGACCGAGGGTGAGCCTCTTTGCAGTAGCTGCAGATATGAAGAAAACTGCAGTTGGGGAATGAGCAGACATTATAATTAAAGTTATTGCAGATGTGGTTATTATTAAAGCGCTCCACCTGGCGCCCTGGCTTGTTGGGCTGAGGCGGGAGCTGGGGCTGACGCAGCTAGGGAATCCCGGCAGAGGGCTGGAAGGGGACAGAGGGGCAGAAAGGGGTGATGTGGCCTGGGGTCCAACAGGAAGAACAGGAGATGATTTGGGAGCCTCCGGCGATCATCACTAATAGTTCCGTGTCCAGGATGGACCAATCCAGGCGGGTAAATCAGCAATAAGTAGCTATCTAATTCCTGCCTTCTCTCAGGAAAGATGGAGCAGATTATGTCCCGAAAAATGCCAAAAGCTGAGACAAAGTGCCTGATAGATAGGTCTCTGCATAGACGGGGATCAGCTGATTTGAACACCGCAGTGATGTCTCCGCCGGTGGCGATGGATTTATCGCACTGGGGGGAAGGCAGGATGAGGCTAACGAGATTAACGTCTCTGCCTTGGAGAATTTTTGCTTTTATCCGGGGAGAAATGTTAGCAGCATAAGGAATGAATGGCCTACCTAGAGGAGGGGCTGGGATGGCTGTGGCCAGAGAATGATGTGAGGCTTCAGGAGGAGTGGATGTGGAGGGCTGACTGGGCATGAAGGCTGGCTGCAGCATGGAAGCCTGGACCCCGGTTAAAGTCACTGAAGAAAAGACGGGGGCTGAAGAGGTTTCCAGAGCCTGGAGACGAACGTTGATGTTGCTCATGGAATTAGCCAGGGACTGCAGGGTGGAGACCAGAGTATTTCCTGAGGTGCTTGAGGAGGTGAGGGCAGCAGGAGTGGGAGAAGGAGGAAGAGAGGCGATGTTTCTCTTCTTTCGGCTGAGGAGCTTTAGCAGGTCCGGATTTCCTGGTTCTTTTGCGGCCGCGAGCTGGCGCAGCGGGGGACCCGGCTGGAACGTTGGATGCAAGAGCAGAGGGGTCTCTGCTGGATCATGGCGTGCGGCTTCAACCGCCAGCTCGCAGAGCTGGGAGAGAGGGAGGCCTGGGGCTGGAAAAATGCCATGATCTTGAAGCTGAGACAGCAAGTGTTCTGACTCGTCTGATAGAGAACCGCCGCGCAGTGCGAGGCGAGAGCTCCTGCGCCGACAGCTCGGAGGAGCCTAAGCCGGGATCGAAATCTTCCGGCACTGGATCGAAGTTGGAGTCAGACATTGGTCTCAGAGTGAGCGAGAAGAAGCAGCACAAGGTAAGAATAGCATGAGCCATAAGCGGCAATTCTGCCTAGAATGACAGCTGAAAGCGGCAGAGGAGAGAACAGATTTAAAACCTCGTAGTGATGACCTGATTGGCTGCTGGAGGTTGTGGCTAATTCTGATAGGACAGCTAGGAGAGTGCACGCCCGGAGGCAGCTGATTGGAGGAAGCAGTGGGAGTGAGAGAGAGGGAACTGTGAATGAATGAGCACTGAAAGGTCTTCCTGATTGAACTTACGCTAAGCTTCATTTCCGTATATTCGGACACTGCAAGTTTGGACCTCCCGGATTATGATGATCATTATTACTGCGATTAGATCATTCTGATTAATGACTGACCATTAAGACGTGTTTCTGATAAATATTTTAATGTGCACATAATACATATAATACACAATATATAATACACATAAAAAACCTTTCACATTGTAATCATATTTTTATTTGTTATCTTTTGCATATGTGTGGCTGCTCCTTGTGTGTCTGAGCAGAGTGCACGCGCGTTGTGCACCCGCCTAGAGACCCATATTACTAACTTGTTTAACAGCGAACTGTTGCGCCGTTGACTTTAGACCAGGTTTTTGTTGGTCACTGGCGCATTTGCTTTTCCCATCATCTAACTAGCAACGCGCCATGACTGCGCCTGACCACTCCTCATTTTTAGACGAACACGCCCAGAGAAGCGCAAGTTCATTTGTTAGTTAGACGAAGAGGGCGCAGGGCGTGAAAATGACAACTGCGCTGGCATCTAAATAGCAATGACACTTGCGACATGGATTATGCGCCGTCCGCCGTCCGCTTTAGACCATCTAGAACATGTGAAACCTTAAGTAAACTAAAAAACCTATTCAGAAAGAAAGTATTGCGCAAATATGAGATGGAACAGTGATTTTTGTCTTGTTTTGGTAATTGTGTTTTGTCTTGCTGGAGGGTTGTTTGAAAATTCTGGTGTATTTGTCTGTTATTGTATTATATCTTGAAAATCGAACTTTGAGGTTGTTGTTTTTCTTTTTTGTTTTTTGTATTTTTTTTTTTTTACTTAAATTGCACACATACAATATAAGGGGGTGGGACTAGAAAAGTTTTTTTTTAACTTCTTCTTACCCCTTTTGAACATGACCAATATCATTTAAGTTGTTTATTATTTGATTCTGCTTTGCTTGTTTGTTTGTTTTTTATGTCGTATGCTTTATTTTGTTTGACTTTTTGTTTCTTTGAACATGTTCAATAAAATAAAATCAAATCATCATCAAATCAAATTTCCTCTGCAGGCTGAGTGGCTGTAACCTCTCAGAGAGAAGCTGTGAAGCTCTGTCCTTAGTTCTCAGCTCCCAGTCCTCCAGTCTGAGACACCTGGACCTGAGTAACAACAACCTGCAGGATTCAGGACTGAAGCTGCTGTCCCCTGGACTGGAGAGTCCACACTGTGCTCTGGAAACTTTCAGGTCAGCTCAAGTTACAGATTATTTCAAATTATTAAACGACCTGTTGTTACTGTTGCTCCAGTTCTAATCATTACGTTCGTGAGTAATGTCACTCATCAGAGGGGAAATACATACATAAGTAAATAATTGGATTGATAAATAAATGAATAAATAAGTAAACATAAAACTTCACTATTATATTCCATACAAGAAAAAAAAGATTTCTAATCCAAATTCTGATATGTTGACCATTTTATCCAGTAACTAACACATGTATCCTTAGCTAAATTCATGGAGAAGGTCAACCTTTCCATACTATAAATATCCCTTACAATCCCCTTCCACTCCATTATTGTTGGAGGTTCTTTCATCATCCATTTTCTGGTTATGGCTTTTTTGCTGGCTGTGAGTAGTATTTGAAGAAGGTATTTATCAGAAGGTTTGAGTTTGATTGGAATATTGCCTAAATATATAGTGCTAAAATCATTGTTAATCTCTTCACCAATTATTGCTTTAATCTCTGTCACTACTCCCAGCCAGTAAAGTTGGATTACAGCACAGTCCCAAAAAATGTGAAAATGATCAGCTGAGTGACTCATACATTGCCTCCAACAATATCCACCTTCAGGTTTATCACTTTGTAACTGTTTTATCTTAGGGGTAATAAAAAATCTAATAATGTTTTTCCAAATAAATTCTTTCTATTGACCTGAACTAGATGTAGTTGTTTGTGTTTTGCATATATTTAGCCAATCCTCGTCTGTCAGACTTGTATTGGCTTCTTTCTCCCATTTAGATTTGATGTACATAGTAGAATGATTTTTAGCAGATTGAAGCATGAATAAATTTTAGCAACCAGTTTTCTGTGGAGATTGGATTTGTATGCATCTGTAAATATAT